TGTGATTGGCAGCACTCGGCGCCTGGTCTGGAAATGTCATGCCCCTTACCATAGCCGCCTGCTAGCTTCAGTGTAAATATTGCGTCAAAATCAAATCAATTTGAGCGCCATTTAAATCCGGATGATTGTAACCACTCTAAGCTCGTCTGCCTTGGGAAAGCTAGCATGTCTCCGACATAGTGATAACACTTGTTGCCTTCTCTAGTGCAGCTCAACCAGGTCTCGTCCCATTCGTCGATATTTGTGATATCACAAATCCCGGAAAATATGCGTTGTAGTCCAAACGAGTCGTTCGTTGTAGTTTTTGAAAAGTGATTTCTGTTAAATAAAATATCTCCTTTTGAAGTGGACTCTGAGCTTTGTAACTTTGCAGATCTTTTTTATGCTCAAAAAGCAACATTACAGACTAACTCAAGTTGAAAAAGTGAAAAAGCATAATAGGACCCCTTTAACATTCATGGAACCTTTCAAGGTTCTTTATAGTGGAAAAAAAAGGATCTTCAGAATATTATAATGTTTATTACACTAAGAAAAATGGTTCTTTTTGAGAACTAATCACTGAAAGTTTCTTTAACAAAGCAAAATGGTTCTTCTATGAAACTGTTGCAAAAATCAGCTTTATTTTTAAGAGTGTATAGTTCTAATTCTCTTTTAATGTTCTCACAGCACTTAATTTTAAGGTTAAGGTTACTCGTTTCTACTGGATAGATGCGTTTATGCAGGTAAATGATGTGTGAGGAGGATTATGATGCAATATTAAAATGAGCTGTAGCTGGTGGGTGGAGTCTTACATCAGGGGCGTGGTTTAGCCTGTTAGTGAAATTGCTACCTCATGTTTTCATGTCTGAAGAACACACAGAGGGAAAATGGCAAAAAAAAAGGCACAGGGTGTCAAAAAAAAGCACAATTAAGACAAAATCCTTGCAAAAGATGTGAATTAAATTACAGCTAATTAGCTAATGTAAATACAGTGGTTTGCAAAAAAATAGATAAAATAGTCAAATTACGATTTAAATTAACCCCTTTTTGCTTATAGTGAACCCTTTAGTGACTGCATTCAGAACATGGATAGACATTGTAATTTTAAAGCATTGTATAAAAAGTAAAAAAAAAAAAAGGTTTTCTATATTGCATTGATATCTATTGATATATGTCATGATCAAGCCCTAGAATTTTGACTAGCTAGCATTATTTTAAACTCCCATTGCTTCACTCCAGAAATTGTTTTATTGATTAAGGTTTGTTCTTATGTCATATGACTAAATGTGCCGTTATTGGGCCTTATGAAGCAATATAAGTGTGAAAGCATTGGGCCTCATTTATGAAGCATAAGCAAAACAGATTTTGTTGTATATTGTTCATAAAACCATTCACTCTCAGAAAAAAAGTTACAAAATCTGTCACTGGGGCACTCCTTTTTCACAAGGTACTAATATGTAACATTAAAGGTGCTGTATGTAAGTTTTTGACTCTACTAAAGCATAAAAATACCATAATGCAGATATTTAAGAAACATGCTAAGTTAACATACTTGTTTATCTGAAAAACTATGCTACAGTCAGTTATTCTCCTTTGAAAATGTGCGTTCCGGGCCGGAATGTCGGTCTCTGTTTTGGTCTGTGAAACCCGCCCACTGCCAGTTTACCCAATTGTATTTCGGGACTCCGGGTTGCCAGTTGGCGGAAAACACAGCGTATTTCATTTCATTCATCGTCAAGTGCGCTTGTTCCTGTTGGTGTCGTCAATCTGGCAACCTGCGTGTGCATCAAGTCTGAGGAGCAGGGGCCGGGTGAAAAAAACCCTCTCCAATATTTTGAACTTGGACTTTAATACCTAGTTCAACCATTCGGTGTCAATCCTACATACAGCACCTTTAAGGTACCAATATGCACCTTTAGGGGTGCAAAGGTGTACCTTTTGAAAAGGTACTGCCCCAGTGGTAGCTTTTTTTTCTGAGAGCATTCTTATATTCAAAGTTCATACTCAATTCACTGCAACATTTTATGTATGAACGGTCTTATGATTGATTTGCTCAAATTTGCTCATGTTTCATGAATGAGGCTGGTGCAACAGACATACACACACACTTCTGTACATAGATTAATTGCATGTTAATGATCAATACTATCCAATGATTGCTGGATTCTCATGCATTTTTCTTCAAATAAGACACAGCTTCTAAAGAAATGAATGACATAATAAACAAGAAACCTTTACAGGGTTTCTGCAGGTCATAAAAAGGGGTTTGAATTTTCTTTTCCACAAATTAAAAAGCCTTAAATCTGTGGTGAAATCTTAAATTCATAAAGTCGTGGCATTAAAGATTGCATACACTGCAAAAGAAATAATATCTTCCTCAGTATTTTTGTCTTGTATTCCAGCTCAAATATCAAAAAAAAAATTAAGTCATGGTACATTTATTTGAGATTGAAAAAAAAAAATATGAAGCCTTGTTTTTTAAGGGATTGAACAAAATGAAGTGAGTTTATGCTTTAAACAAGAACAAATATGTCAGTGGGATATGGAAACTTGTTTTTCCTTTGAATTAAGTGAATTTTTCTGACAACATTGTCAGATGTTTGTTTTGTTTTAATCACAAACTCATTTCATTTTGATCATTATCTCAGAAAACAAGACTTATGCCATCTGCATCTCAAGTAAACATATCTTGATATATGACTCTTTACACATTTGCACTGAAAAAAAAAAGGACAGCACTTTTTTACAGTTTGAAAGCAAGTTATTTCCAAAAAAGTAATAATCTGTTGTATTTTCAAACTTTGAAGTGATGCTAAAACAACTCATTGAAAGCATGCTGGACTTCAGAGAACATACTGATGAATTCCCTTCAGTTTATTCCTTACATATTCTTTACTTGGTCTCACATTTATAGTCTTAAATTTACCTTCATGAAACCTGCAGAAACCCTGCTTTCGCACTGTCATGCTTTAACTGAATCTTTGCACTTGAGAATGATTTTGATAAAGCAAAACTCGAGAAATATTTCACTGACACTATATTATTGCTATTTATTAATTATACTCTCTTTATATATGCGCTGATGTCGTAGATCTACTATATACGCAACTAAAAGCATTAGGCTACAAAAGCATGCTGAACTAGAGGCTGCCTGTTAACAATGAGATTGCATTGCGTTACTTTGTCTCTGATGAGAAGTATTCTTAATGTCAGTGTTATTTTAGCAGCTAATATGGAAATGTTTTCGGATCTGGTTTATTTTGGCAAAAAGAAAAAAGGATGTCAAATTTATGATTTGACAATCGTGAACAGAAAACAGTTTTTGAGTAGTGCGCACATTTCCAATCCTCAGGCGTAACTGAGCACAACAAAATCAAAACTGGTCTTTCGAAAGAAATGGATATCATTTTTCTGTTGCATGTACAGTTTTAGCTTGATTATACTTGAACAAATGCGTTCACCCCTCAAAGTTCAGTGTGATTCAGATTTATAATGTTTATTGCTCTTAAATGTGTTGAAATTTGCATTTGCGTTTGGTGAAGTGAACTTTACCCTGAGTAGTCTGAGCTGGATAAATCATAATTCTGCATAAGACAATGCACTTATCACACTGAAAAGTGACTAAAAAGATGTTTTTCGGTGGTACAGGAACCGTAGCAATACAAGTCCATCCTGCTCAGGTTTGATCAGCGGTTTACACAGATGCTGGCATCACATAATTACTCGAGCTCAGGAGTGTGTGCTTTCTTCATTGTTCATTGTTCAACTGATCTGTTGTCAGCTTACATGCAAGAGTTCTCAGGAGACAGCTTTGTCGACGTGCTTCATTCATCTTTGAAAAGCTGTGATTGTGAACAAGCTTTGTAACATTACGGTGTTTTTCCTCGTTCAGACTAGCATCTCTCACAGCTGTATTTGCCAGATAAAACCATGAATATTAACAATACTTCACAGTCACGTACAAAGTATGGTGCAGAGGATCTTGTTTTTAGCTGCTTTGTTAATTTAGTACTACATGTGGCTTCATAGTTTGACTTCAAGCACAACTTTAGTTCAACTTTGATTTGCTCTCTTGAATGAAAGATGAAAATAAAACTTTGACTTTAAAAGTCCCATGGTTGCCGTTCTTGTCTTTTTGTTTTCTCGATGCATATTTACTACTATTCAGAAATTCTTTGAACCATATGAATCATTTTGATAATATTAATGTATACTAGCCTAATTTATTGAATGCTAAAGACATAAAAACTTTACAGATATAACAAGACATCAACATAGACAACAACATACAAGTGATTACAAATTGTAGTCCATTACTGATTACTGATTACATGATGAAAACTGAAGTTATTAACATAATTGAACAATCTATAGGTTACTCATTTTAGGTAATGTATTCTGAATACTTTGTAGATCACTTTTTATGGAATGTTTTTAACTTACCATACTGATATAAAAAAAAAAAATCAAAGGGAAAGAAAATATATTCTTGAAATATGTCTGTTTTTGGGAATATAATCAAAGCTGAATGGTATGACACACAGTAGCATTTTTAAAAGAGGAAAAAAAATTTGGGGAGTCAATAAATTATGAATAATTTAATGCCATGTGAATAATATGTAATCATATATACATTTTTTATTTTATATAAATTACATTTAATAATTACACCGTGTTTCGGTTATGAAATAAACGCAATGATTATGTAAAAAAAGAGAATATGGTTACATACTGTTTGCATTGTCATTCTCCATTGACGGTCTCCTTGACAACACGGA